GAGGAGGAGGAGGAGGAGGAGGAGGAGGAGGAGGAAGAGGAGGAGGAGGAGGAGGAGGAGGAGGAAGACGAGGCGGAGGAGGAGGAGGAGGAGGAGGAGGAGGAGGAGGAGGAGGAGGAGGTAGGGGCATCTTGGGGGCCTGTGGGGGCACTCTTGGGCCTCCTGGGAGTTTCCTGGGGGCCTGTTGGAGGCATCTTGCGGCCCTCCTTCCGACTCTTGGGGGCTTTTTGGGTGCCCATTTGCCCGTATTCGTTCGTATTGGTGTATTCTTAGCCCGTCGGACGCCGTCGGGAACCGTCTTGGGGGCCTCTCCGAACCGGCTTGGGGTTCTCTTGGGGTGCACCAGGGCCGTCTTGGATGCTATCTTTGGGCGTCTTGGAGGCCTCTTGGGGCCCTCTTGGGCCGTCTTGGGTGCCTCTTGGGCCGTTCTGGGGCCATCCTCCAGGCCTCTTGGGCGAACTTGGGGCGATCGTGGAGGGTTCTTGGGCCGTTTCGGACCGTCGACATGCCGAAAAGAAGCAATTGTTTAAACCCCTCAAATTCCTAAGTGGAACATGTCAAGCTCGGCGGACACTGCGTGGCTTCCCGTTCTTGTCCGCTCTGTTGTCCGCCACTGCGCGGGGGAGCGGTCGCGAGCCTGAGCTGCATTCATTGTTTGGGGCATTCAGGGGACGGAACAGCGCAGCTGTTGAGGTCACAGTCGACAGCCAGCTTCGGTGGCGGTGGGCCGATGGTTCGTTGCCTCTTGGTAGGTTAGAGCATGCGGAAAGTGGTGAAAGTGTTGGGAGGGTCGTGGTGTGAGGCAGCAGACACCGCACGCCCAGCTGACGGACTTGTGGCAACGACGACAGGCACAAGAAAGGGAGCAAACCCGAGGGGGGGGGCGGACAGATGGTAACGAAACGCTCTCCCCCGCACATTGCTCATGACAAACCCTTTTGTTGAGCGGCAAACTCGAGGGGGCGGAGAAGTGGCGACGAAAAGCTCTCCCTCGCACGTGGTTCATGACAAACCCCTCTTTTGGTCGAGGGGACTGGGACGGGGAGGGACAGTCTGCGCCCCGCGTGCCACCCTCAGGCCAGTTGCGCTTCTTGTCGCGGCCCTTTGCCTTCCCAAGGCAGGCCCTTCGATGTTTTGCTCGCGCGCGGTGCGAGGCTCATGCCGCCGTGCGTAGGGCGCGCAGGGCGCCGGGGCTGAATCGGACACCGCCGCGCTGCTCGCTGGGTCCCGTTTCGGTGCACTTGTGTGCCGCGGTGGCTGCACTGCCCGACCAATTTGCTCTTTCCGAGCTGCGGCAGTCAGCCGGCATAGTGAGGATGGGCAACTTTGCCAAGGGAACCCCTACATCCTTGCATCCTCGGTCCATCCTTGGCCGCTTTCGCCTGTGGGAAAAACACACACGGTGGGAAAACACACACACAGTGTGTGTGTGTGTGTGTGTGTGTGTGTGTGCGTGTTTTTCCCCGCAGACTCCGCGTGCTTTTTCCCACAGACTGTGTGTTTTTCCCACAGACTGTGTGTGTGCTTTTCCCACAGGCCAACCTCGCTCGAAAAACGTTGCCGTGGCCCTCCGAGGCCCTTGCATCCTCACCGCGCATCCTTGCTGTACGGGTGGACTGTATGCCCTGGGGCGGGCGGGGCGGGGAGGCGTGGCCTCCACCCGCGGCGGGCGACGGCTGCATTGTGCGGCCTCTGTTCTCGGTGAGGTTCCTGGCCAGTGGGCCTGCTGGGCGGGGGGCCCCTGGGCCTAACTCTGTGGAGGACGATCAAGGGAGAGGAGGCATGCGGCCAAATATTTTCCAGGTGTCCAAAAGATGTGTTAAAACCGTTTTTAAGCAAGCATGTAAAGCACATGCTTTAAGCATCTTCTGGACATGTTCCAGCAATTTGAACACATGTTTAATTCGATGATAGGACTGTTAGGGTGTCCATTGTCGTGGCATCCACAAGCCTAACTAGCCTGGTGCCCGTCGTCATCCCCAGGTCTACATTTGGGTGCAATGTTAAGCGCTGCGGGTGGGATTTTCTGCAGCTCTTGTGCGCTTTGTCCTCGGGTTCACCCCGCGACACAGGTAGGGGTGACAGAGGGGATATTCCCACTGCCTATGACGTTCTGGAGCCCCCAAAGCGGTGTCCTGAGGTCATCTGAGGTCACCGACCTGAGGTTCGCACAGCTTGCGTCGGTGACCGTCTGGGGCACCCATGCGGCCTCCTGAGGTCACCGAGCCCCGAGTGCCAGCCACCACGTCCCCCTCACGCTGGCCCGCTGATGCAGCCAGGAATTGCCAGCCACCAGGTTGAGCCACTGGCCACGGTCTCCCTCTGCAGCTGTGCATGGCTTTGGTGAAGAGGCCGTTTCAGCCTTGGAGCTCCAGGGCAGGGGCTTCAAGGATTTCAATGGTCTCGACGCACGTTCACGTGCCCACACGCATTAACCAGGCGTGCTGGCCATCAGGTCGCACTAACGATTCTCGGATGCGGGAATTTAAGAGGGTACGGGAATTTCAGGGGGCGCGGCACCCGCGAGAGCTTTTGGACGCTTCTGAGCGCAGATACTTCGGGCGTTTCTGTGTGCAGAACTTTTGGGCATCTCTGTGTGCAGAGCTTTGGGCATCCTGCCCCTGCGCCTTGATCAACAATAGGTGCCACGCCCCCGTCGCAATCGACCTCCTTCATTCTCTCCCTTGCGGCCGCACGGCTGCAGTGGAGAGGCCATTCCGGCCTTGGGGCTCCAGGGCAGGGCCTGAAGGGATTTCAACGATCTCTAACCTGATGGTTCGCGGTTCTTTCGCGCGAGACCCCCTCTCACCATTGAAGTGGCCTTCAGCAGCCAAGTGCCGTGCGCGGGAGCAGGAGGTGAGGAAGAAATCTCGTCTCAAATGCAACCGCCGCCAGCGGGTGTAGAGATCCGTGTGATGACATGAGTACGGTAGGTTCGTGTCGTGTCGACCGGCGGCGACTCCGCCGCCGGCGTTCAACGTTGAACGCTGGCGGCGGCCCAGAATCGGTCGATGTTGAACCATTGGACGTTGCGGGAACGGCAGATCGTTCAAGGTCGAACGATCCCCGCGGTGTCAGGAAGCGACGCCCGGGTCGACACGACACGAACTTGCCGTAATGGAGGATGACGATTAATAAATGACCGGGGGTCGTGTTCACGCGGCGGCGCCCGGGATGACGATTCGAAAAAACCGGCCGCGGGCTGGACAACTATTTTTTCATCGTCCTCCTCCATTCAGAAAATTGTGCAGACATAGCAGAAAACTATGTTTTGAATCGTTCTCTCCCCTTTTTTATCAATCGTCATCCCGCATCAGGGTAGCTCTCGTGGGATGGCTGGAGAGCTTGTCCCACGAGCGTCACCGAAGCTCGGCTCGGGGCGGTGACCCGCCGTGCGGCGGGGCGGCGGGTGCCGTCCCGGCCTGCTGCAGAGCGTGTGCCTCCCGTGCCGCCGCGCTTCGGGGGCCCCCCATAACGGGGTGGTGACCCCGCCGTGTGGCGAGTCGCTGGGGATGTGGGGTCACCGCACGGTTTGGGGGACTCGGGTCGTTCTCCCGGGGGACGTCTCGGACGGCTGGGGCCCCCGAGGTCCCAGAACCGTGCGGTGAGGTCTTGGGGGATGTCGAGGTCACCGCAGGGCCTGTCGCCGCACGGTTTCGGGACTCCAAAATGTTGGGGAGCGGGCCTCTTCCCCTGAACACCAGGATGGCGACCATTGCTGCAGTGGGGGATACGGTAAGGCACGTAACACGACTTATCACCTGCCAGGTTGGCCGCGGTAGGAGCTACTGCAGAACACCCCACCGTCAAGCCTTGGGTGTCGAACAGAGGAGGCTTTCTCGAGATATGCTGACTGCACAGACCAGCCACAGGTACCGTGTGCCAGCATGCGTCCCTGCTCAGACGCCGGGACCAGAAGGTATGTCGTCACAACCTTCAAGAGCACCGCTCCAGTGATGGGAGAGCCCACATGCTCCATCCGTCTCGACGTGGTTACGCCTACCATCAGGGGCATCAGCAGTTGCACTACGATCCTCCTCCCTCCTCCTCTTCCTCCCTCTCGGCACAATCCAAATGGGACGAGAGACCAGCACAGAATGCGGCACATGGCACAACCAGAAATGGAGGAGGTGGGCATACAAATCCATACGACGAGGGATAGTTGATCAAGTACTGATAGGACCAGATATCCAGGAAAGCCGCCTTGAAAGGTGCGGCATTATCATCATGATACGTATGATCCTCGTGCTCATCATCATATTCACCATCAACAGACTTATCATCCTCATAATCATCATCACCACCTGGAGCATCACAATCAGAATCGTCATCATCAGCATCAGCATCATCATCACCACCGTCCTCATTATCATATCCACACCCTGATCCTACTCCTCCTCCGCATCATCACCGTCATCACTACCACCATCATCATCATCATCATCATCATCATCATCATCATCATCATCATCATCATCACCATCACCAGCAGCAGCAGCATCATGAACATGATTCTCCTCCACCTCCTCCTCCTCCTCCTAGTCGTCATCACCATCACCAGCAGCAGCAGTATCATCCACATCATCATCAGCATCATCATCATCCACATCCTCGTCCTCGTCCTCGTCCTCATCATCCGCATCATCATCACCACCACCATCATCATCATCAGCATCAGCAGCATCATCATCATACTCGTCATCATCATCATCATCATCATCATCATCATCATCATCATCATCATCATCATCATCATCCTCATCCTCATTATCATTATCATTACCATCATCCTCATCCTCATCCTCATCATCATCATCATCATCATCATCATCACCATCACCAGCAGCAGCATCAGCGTCAACATCATCATCTTCGTCGTCGCTCTCCTCCCATGCCTGCTCCCACCGCGGCCGCGCCAGCTCAAGAGTTCGAGCTCGAGAGACACCCAAAGAAACCCGCTCACCGGGGAGGGCGCGAGAGTGCCCGAGGCCGTCGGGGCGATGCGGGCGCTCACCGTCCTCGCCGCGCTGCTGGCGCGGCCCACCGCGGCGGCGGCCGGCTCGGCCGCACGCGCCGGCTCGGCCAGCATCGCCGTCGACGCTCGGGGCGGCACAGGTCGGGGGGGACGCCAGCCACGCACGGGGCACCGGTCCTCGGGCCTCCTCGCGCGGGCGGGCGGCAGCGGGGGGGGCAAGGAGCGTCGGGGGGGGGATCGAGGGTTGCAGGACAGTGGCCCGGAAGGGGTCCTGAGTGGCCCCATAATCGGGGGCGGAAGAGAGGAGGGTGATGGCTAGGGGGGGGGGGGATATCATGGCGCGGGCCATGATATTTCCCCAGATTTCATGGCGCCTCTTCTCATTTCATTACGTCCCTGGCCCCCCCGCTGGGCCGCGCACATGCCGCCGGTCATGATTTGCAACCCCCCCCCTTGGACACCCCCCTCTTGGCCGCTCCTGACATAAAGGGCCACCGCGGGCCCCAAACTAGGCACGACAGATGCGCGTTGCTTTATCCCACGCTGATTGCCCCCCCGTCAGAGAACACCCGACTCGCAGGGGCACGAGCGCGGTCGCGCGTTGCGCCCTGCGGCCTGGGCCTGAGAGTCGTGCTTGTCCACGGGGGCGGCGCGAGATCGCGAGGAGTGTCGCGATTAGCGCTAGGCGCGAAGCGCGAAGTGAGGTGACCCAGGATCCTGGCCGGGCCGATCCTGAGCCCAGGGTCGATGTATGCTTTCTCCAGGCCTAGCCAGGAGGCTGCACACAACGGTCCTGACCCAGGGCGGGCTCGGCCAATGTCAGTGTCCGTGTGTCGTTGCTGTCCCCTTGGCAGGCGATCGAAAGGTTGCAATCAAGACAGCACAGCAATCAAGAAAGTCGGGGCTGATGCGGAGAGAGCTTCAAAATGGCCAGGATGGAGGGGCAGCTTTATACAGCGACGACATGTGGCCCTTTGCAAGCGAGTTGACGTTCAATTACACCCTCATAGAAAATAAAAACTGCTATGGGGAGCATGGTGGAGAAACCCTTGGTATTCATAATCGAACACACACAGTTGAAGAGTGCAAGTTAGCTTGCAGTCGTTTCCCATACTATGAATGCCAAGGAATTATGATCGAACGCTGGGAGGTCGCTAAGCCTCTGTGCTACTTGAAGAAGAATATACAGCCAGATAAGTGCAAAGTCAGCAATTGGTCCCACCTGTGGGTTCGCTCAACATTTCCTGTGAACATCGAGGACATGCCATTGCTCAGCACCCCTTTGATGCACATAATGCCCTGGTTCGGTTTCAATGCCACTGATCATTGGGCAGGCCATTGGAAGATGAAGCTCAACGAAAGTGAAGTCGCCGCTTTGAGGCAGTCTGGTCGCGTTGCTGCGCATCTCACGCCCCTCATTGGTCCGTACAGCAGTTCGAATTCTAAGGTCGTCCAATGGCAGCTGACCCTGATGAAGTTAGCAGGGATCAAAGGTGTTGTCATCAACTGGTACGGTACAAGGGATGACTGGGGGGACTTTGCATTCAATTTGTTGGGCGCAGACGAGATAGCAAAACAAGCTTCAGCCATGGGCATGACTTTCACCATCTGTTACGAGGATTGGACTACGGTTGCTCGCAGAGGGGACGGGTGGCAAGGCGTAGAGCCCACCGGGTCTGACAGGACAGTGGGTTTACAACATATGGTAGCAGATTTTAAGTACATCAGGGAAAAGTACATGCCAATGCCGGGCTTCCTTGTTGACAGCAGAGGTGTACCAGTGGTATTGGTTTTCGGCCCTCGTAATTTCAAAAACCCCGCAGATTGGTCAAACGCCTTGGACGAAGCATTTGCTGCCTCTGATTTGCAGAAGCCCAAGTTAGTGTCTTTACCTGGTAAAAGCGTGGGAGGTGGCAGGTTCAGTTGGCTTGGCAATCTGAAATCGTATGGCGAAACCCAACATGATGAAAATAAGACGCTGGGTAACGTCGCAAATGACTTAGCGAGATTCTACGTCAGCCAGGGCCCCCACAAGGGCAACACCACAATAGGCAGCGCAACCGCAGGCTACCACGACTACTACGTTGAAGGGCGACAGAAGGACACAAGCTTTGGGCAGCTACCTGGGTACTATGGGCGGACTTTGGAAATTGGTATTAAAGAAGCGAAGTTGTACAAGCCTCCATTTCTCCAGCTTAACACTTGGAACGATTATGCAGAAGGCACGAGCTTTGAACCAACAAGAGAAAGAATTGGTACCCCAAGCTCGCATTTCAGACGTTTGTTGGATCTTCAGAAGCATTTAAAACATCATCAGGACGAGGCGTCTTTTGTCAAAGTTACGTGCGATCTTTGGGCGCAGATATCTTATGATCGCAGTACTATGGTTAATGCCTCGGAATGGCCTGCTCTAAGCCTACCTTGTCCTTGGTCTTGCGATTCGGGCAAAAACTTCATAAATGGAGCAGTGTATAGCCAACAGTCTTTAACAAGTTACTGCCCGGCCTGTAGTGCCAATCCTGTCTATGGCCCTGGCAACGACAACGAGAACGCTGTAGCCTATTGCAAGAACAAGTGTGAAAAGGGAATATCTCCAGCTTCCTCATCATGCGTAGGGTTCTTCTACCAGCGACATACGAATGGCCATGAGGTTTGCGGATTCTACAACACGGCTCCTGACTGGGCCAGCGCAGCGTGGCACGGTCATTCCGCAGGTTCTCGCATATGCAAGCTGACCTGGACCCCCTGAGGAGCATTGTGAACCTAACGCTGCTGAAAGGCAACGCTCTTTTCGAATTGAAGTTGAAGCTGCCGCCACCGTTCGCATGTGTAGTATCCAGTTGTCCTTCGAGCATGATTCGCCACACAGCCCTCGTCAAAACAGCTGTCCCGGTGCACTACTTGCGCTGAGTGAAGAATGGCGTGACCATCAGATTGTGCGCGCTGCGCGCGGAGTGGATGCTCGCATGCATATTTGGCAGTATATATGTACACATGTGTACATGCATACGCATGTACACATGTGACGACATGGTGCAGGCATGCGCACGCATACTCCAGACATCTGCGCGCAAGTATGTACAGATATTCACTGTCGTAAAACAACGACCTGTCGACCGACCCCACTGATCCATGATTGAACGATTCTGGAGCCTCTCACACGACTCGTTTCGTTCATGTGAACTCTGCAGAATTCGGGATAAGCCACGAGGGCACCACGAGGCTCAACAAATTGCCTCAGAGAGCTCCAGGGGGCGCCCAAAACGGCGGAGCCAGCCCTTTTTCACCCAGATGGCGTTCATGTCCCCCAAGAGAGCTCCATGATCGGTTTGCGCGGGGCCCTCGACAGGCATCGACAAAATCAATGTGGTTGTCATATTTGGCCGTGCTTTACTCTGCAGCTCCATGTTCCCCCCCCACGAAAGACCCCGAAAGCCTTCAAGGGGGCCCCTGAGGTCTACCAGATTTCTGGGCCCGATGCGCTCGCGAAAAAGACCAAAATAGCCTCACACAACGACCCCGACACGGTTCCAAGACGACCCTATTAAGCCCCCAAAGCCCCCCAAAGAGCACCTCAAATCCCCGAGAGAGCTGCACGATTTCCCCCCGACACGTCAAGGTGGCCCCAAGAGATCCCGCGCGAGCTCCTGGAACCACCCAAGATTTCCCTAGAGGGCAGTCAGCCCTAAGTAAGGAGCCCCATATACGTTTCAGCAACCTCCGACGCAACGCAACCGAACGACCGTCCGCCTTTCTAGGCGCGCCAGTGCGCGCCACACAATGCACACCAAAAGCAAATGTTGTAAACGTTAAGAGTCGACAGCGCGCGCAGCACGCAAGCGCAGTCACCGCGGTGTGCACCAATGCGTTTGTGCATGGGGTGCGCATTTTGCGCGCAGCACGCAATGATCATCAAATGTTCGTCCCGTAAGAACCAAGGTGCGACAGAGCGCGAAACGCGCACGTGAAATCGTGTGTACGCACCGCATATGCATATTCAAGTCTGCACTTGTTTGGGCAGCGGACTCGGCGAACACACGAATCGGTCAAGCTAGTGCTGGGCCACGGCGAAACGACTTGTGTACCAGAGAGAGTGCAGAAATGGGAGAAGCGCGGCCGCGGAGGGAGGAAAAAGGAAGGCTGCCTCGTCAGAACGTGAAATTCTTGAGTCGGCGTTCTGCGGCCAGAGGCTCCAGGGAGTCCTTCGGAGGTCAGCGCTGCCAGGCGCGCAGGGAAGTGGTCTTCCGAGCAAGCTCGATCTCAACAAAGGGGTCGTTGAACTGGTCGGAGCACGCCAGCGTCCAGGGGGGGAGACCAGGCTAGCAGCACGAAACCGACGAGCCGTCGACTGCCGCGCGACTGAGGGACGCAGCCCAACACATGGGGTGCCTGCCAGAGCTGGCACACGTCGAGGGAGGCTCTGAGGAGCCCACGCGGGCAGCAGGCCCAGGCGAGGAGGGCCGCGCCGGAGAGCGAACGACGACGGCGAGCACGAGGCACATCGCCGGACATCCGGGGCTCCCGCCGAGGCTGAGGAGTCGACGGTGGCGGCAGCGGGACCCGCGAGGGCCAGGGCGGCCGGCGGCTTCTGGCGGGGCGCTGCGCCAGAGGGGCAGCCCGCGAGGAGCAGAAGCGGGGCCGCGGGCGCCCGCCACGGCGCGGCCGCGGTGGAGGGGGGGAGAGACCGGAAGGGGGGCAGGGGCAAGAGAGGGGAGGCAAGCCAGGTGCGCATATAGGTGCGCTCATGCCACATCTGATGCCCTGCCCGCTGCGTTGATTTTTTTCTAGTTCTACCCACTCATACCCTACCCACCGATACCCTACCCACTGCGCTCATGCCTCCCGCCCACCCCTGCCCACTGCGCCGATTTTTGTTCGAGTTCTGGGGTCCGCGGGCGCAGGTCATCGCGGAGGACCGGGGCCTCCCAAGAAGACCCCATCGTGTTGTGCCAAGTAGAAGAGGGGGAGCTGCGCACATCGGAGGAGGGGGATGGGGAGGAGGGGGCGGCAGATGAGCAAGAGGAAACTGATGAGGAGGAGAAAGGAAGAGGAGGAGACAGAATAGCAGCAGCAGCCAGAGCGGCGGCGCCATGCGCTCGGTGGCACTAGGGCCTTCGCTGGAGCTCCCTATGGGGCCACGAAACGTGTGAGGGGTGTACCGAAACAGAGACACGCGGAGAGCAAAGGCAAGGAGGGGGAGGAGGAGGTGGAGGAGGAGGAGGAGGAGGAGGAGGAGGAGGAGGAAGGAAGGAGGAGAACGCGGGGCACCGTCTCTTCAAAACGATGACCCAACACCACAGGATGGATGGGAAAAAAGGCTCTCGCTCGGGACATCCTCACAATGTATGCAGAGATTGCGCTCTCGCGTGGGACCCCCTCGCAATTTATTCAGACGCCGCGCCTTCGACACAGGAATTACGCTCTCGGCTTCGTTTTTTGATTTACTTGGGAATCGCGCTATCGATCGAGACCTCCTCGTGATTCATGCAGGACGCACGCTTCAGCAACCCGCCTGCTCGACCTGGCCGCCTGGGCCCGCCTTCCGGACCCGCCCGCTGGGGTCCTCCCGCCCGATCAGCCCGTTTGGTTCTGCCAAGTGTTTTCTGCTCAGAGCCCCCCTCCTGCAAATTTCTCTCGTGCTCCATCCTCCTCCCTCCCACTTCCATCCGTCCTCTCGTCCCCTGTTTAGATCTGTTTAAGGGCTGCGCTAAATACACGTGGCAGGCCAGGAAGATATACCCCCAAGGGGGCACGATAGAAGGCGAAGAGGGCGGATACCAAGGGTTTGGGATTCACGTGTTGAACGGCACGCGAGCAGATGGGAGCGAACAGTCTCGAAAGAATTGTTGTTGTCGTCGTCCCACTCGCGATCGGGCCCGCGACCCACCCGCCACCCGGCCGCGACCAACCCGCGACCCACCCGCGACCCGGCCCGCGACCCGGCCACGACCCACCCGCGACCCACCCGCGACCCACCCGCGATCCACCCGCGACCCACCCGCGACCCGTCCGTCACTCATCCGCGACCCACCCAGCGCTCGCCGCCTCATTGTCATCCGCAACTGCTCGGTATTTCTTATTCTCCCCCCTCCCTCTGTCCTCCTCCCTCCTCCCTGCCGCTCCCGACCTCCGTCCAGCCCTCCCTCCTCCCACCTGAGGCAAGAGGAGGGGGCACCATGAGCAGCTGGAGAAGCGCGAGCATCTCCATGGAGAAACGCGGATGCTTTGGAGGGAAGGGGAGGGTATCGGAGGATGGGGATATGTTCAGAGGAGGGTAAGGTTTTCGGAGGAGGGGGATATTTTCAGAGGACGTGAAGGTGTTCGGAGGAGGTGGAGGTTTTTGAAGGAGGGGGGAGGGTTTGGGGTTCGTCGCTCTGTCGTCGACGTCGCCGCCGTCGCTTTGTCGCCGCTGTCGTCCCTCGCCGTCGCGGGGTCGAGGAGCGGAGGTCCTGGGCGCACTCCGAGGCACCTCTCGCAGAGGAGGCACCCCGAGGCCTCCGCCGGCCGCCCCCCCTGGAGAGTATCTCGGGGGAGAGTTTGGGAGCGCCGATCTGGCACCTCCGTCGTCGTCGCCGTCGTCGTCGTCGTCGCCGCCGTCGTCGTCGTCGTCGCCGTCGCTCGCCGTCGTAGGATCGAGGACGGGAGGTCCGGGACGCTTTTCTGAGCCCCTCTCACGGACGGGGCCTCCCGAGGGCTCTCGTGAAAACCCGCCGTGAGGTTTCTGGAGGGGGGTTGGGAACGCCTCCGTCGTCGCCGTCGCCATCGTCGTCGGTCACCGCGAGATCCCACGTCTTCAGTGACACGGCTCTCCTATTCAAGAGGCCTACTTGACTCCGTCGTCACTGTTGCCGCAGCCGTCATCGTCGCTCGCCGTCCTAGGATCAGGGACAGGAGATCCTGGACGCTTTCTGGCCCCTCTCACAGACGGGGCCTCCCGGGGCCTCTAGTGAGAACCCCTCCGTACGGTTACTTGGGGGGGAATGCCGATTTGGCGCCTCCGTCGTTGTCATCGTCGCCGTCGCCGCCGTCGGTCGCCGTCGGATCCCACGTCTTCTGTGACACAGTCTCCCTACTCGAGAGGCTGATGCCGTTCCATCGATCCCCAGAGGATAAGGAAAACGACATCAAAAAGCAGGATTAGGAAGACGAGGACGATGACGATGACGAAGACCACCACAACCACGACGACGACGATGACGAGGCATTTTGAAAGTCACTCGGAGTCTGTTGTCAAGCTTCATGAGGGCCTCCGGGGGGCCTCGTGGGTGGCCACGTGGGTTCCTCCTGAAGAGCGTCCGAGAGGCTACCCCCAGTGGCCACCCCCGATAGGGCGTGAGAGGATTCTTCTTAGAGGCACGTTGGAGATCTCGGGAGACATCCTGTGGAAGGGGGCTCCCAGGACCTCCTTCGAAGTCTCCAAGGCCTTTTTGGCCGTCTTGGAGGTCTGTTGGGCCGACTTGGAGCACGTTTCGGCCGTCTCCTGGCCCTGATGGGAGTCGCAAAGTGCATGTCCGACCCCCCCCCCCTACGGATCTTCCAGGGTGATCGGAAACACGATCTTCGAGCACACTGCTCTCCCATGTTAGTCATGCTCATAGTCATACATCATCCCTCTTCAAACTACGTGGCACCATGGCGGAATGGTGCGAGATAGCACCATCCCACAACATTGTAGAATGTAGTGGCGTCAACTTGCACCAGTTTTCAGCATGTGTAATGGTGGAGTGCTGTACACAGGGCCATGTTTCAAAATGGTGTAACGGTGCAGTGGCGCATCATTCTGCAGAATAGTGTAATGGTGTCAAGGTGTATTACACCTTTCAACACAGGGGTGTAATGGTTGAAAGCTGTATGCGTTCACCATGTCGCAAAATTACGTAATGGTGTAATGGTGCAGGTTTCAATTATCAGAGCCACGTTGCCCCCACGCTGAGCAGAAGGACCAGGAGAAGGCGGAAGAGGTGAAAAGAGGGGGGCGACAACGATGAGGAAGGACTCGGTCCAGAAAAGTGGCCCGCGCTGGGTCGAGAGCGCCATCCTGAACGACGGGAGCAAAGCGCCGATCCTAAAATGAGGCCAACGCTACTGCGGCAGCATCGACTTGAGACACCGAAAGCGTTCCGATATTGAGAAAACAGTTGGAAATTAAAAGTGATTGCCAGCGCAGACCTCAAGCAGCATTTTGTTGTTCCTTCGACTAGTGCGGGGTGCATTTTGCGGGCAACGGGTGGCAGCTGACCGGAACGTGGCGAGGCCTCTGGACACCTCTGCAGGCGGCAACGGGCGGCAGCTTGCCGGAATGTGGCGAACCCCCGGTCACACCCTTGCAGGCGGCAGCGGGAGGCAACGTGCAGGAACGCAGCGAGCCCCCGGAACAGCCCCACTTTTTTCGATCCGCGGGTTCACAGCGAGCCTCTTCCGGTCGAAGCTAAGCGGGCCGCGCACAGCTTTAATTGACAGAGGGGGGAGGCAGAAGGAGGGGCCTCACGTCAAGGCCAAGAGAGGGCAAAGCCCCGGAATCAGGCGGTGCCGAAGGCGATGAGCATGCAAAGGAACGCCTTGTACAGGAACCAGCCCGGTACAGCCCCACAGGCGGTAATGGGCGGCAGCGGGATAACAAGCTTGAGCGTGGCGAATCCTCGGGGCACCCATCCAGTTCTATTCGGAATGCAAGCAAGATGCCCAAGGGTTTTTATTGCAGTATGTGCAGATCTAGCTGGTGCGATCAATGTGGTGCAATCTGTTCTTAGAGTCAAAGCAGCGCAAGGCAATGCAACGCAAGGACATGCAAAGCAATGCGAAACAGTAGTGTAGCAATGCAATGCAACGCAAAGCAATGCAATGCAATGCAACGCACAGCAATAAAAAACAATGCAACACGATTCAACGCAACGCAACTCAATCAAACGCAACGCAGAGCATCAGCAAACGCAACGCAATGCAAAGCACTGCAAAACAATCTGAAGCACAATGCAGAGCATGGCAACGCACCGCAAAGCAATGCAGTGCAAAGCAATGCAAAGCAATGCGAAGCAATGTTGTGACGAGCGGCGACGAGCTGGCCGCACCGCCTCTGGGGCCCAGCGACGACGTCGGCGACGGGCGGCTGCAAGCCGGCTGGACCAACACTGGGGCCCAGTTGCTTGCGAGGACGAGCGCTGCTTGGGGAAAAACTGCCAGCCTCGAGTTGTTCCTGGCGAGGGAGGCCTGGGAGCGTCGTGCCCGCGGACGCTTCCGAGATGGTCCGAGGGCCTCCGAGGGCTCCAGGGGTTCTCCGAATGCTTCCGAGGTGCCCCTGGCCCATCCCGAGTTCCCCCGACGTGCCCAGGGAACCTCCCGAGGCCTTCGGGATGCCTCTGGAGGCCTGGTCCTCCAAGAGCTTCTGGGGGTATCCGTTGCCTGGCCTCCGCGGACCTCCGAAGAAGGCCTGTCGGAGAGGGCCCTCCGATGGGGCCCGCCCGCCGCCCGTCCTCAACGCAGTTTCAGCTCCGAGGGCCGCTCGCAGCCCCCGGCGGGGCGGGCGCCCGCAGCCGGGCTACATGGGGGGGCACGCGAGCAGCGGCGGCGGCCGCGGCAGCGGCTGCGAGGAGCTCCTCGGTTTCGGGGGCACCGTGGCGCCGGCGCCGCCGCCGCCGCGCAGCGGCAGCGGCGCGGCGCTGGAGCTGCTGGTGCGCCCAGCGCCCGCGGGGCGTGCGGGCGGGGGCCCTCTGCCGGCGGGGCGAGGAGGCTGCGGCCTCCAGGCGGTGCCCGCGGACCTGCAGGCGCACCTCGCGCTGGCATTCCTCGACGGGGCGCGGCCCGTCGCGCACCTCGCCTGCGCGTCGCGCCTGCTGCGCGCCGCGCTGTGCGACGGCTCCTGGCGCCTCCGCGTGGGCGGCCTGAGGATGTCGCGGGTGGACTGCGCGGAGGATCCCTCCCTCCTCTCCTCGCTATGCACCTCCCCTCCCGTGGGGGCGGGGGGAGGAGGTGCATCGCCTTCCACTCGCTTGCACCCCCCCTCCCATCGCCTCCCTCTCGGTTCGCGTCCGCCTCTTCCTCCTCCCTCCTTCCGTCCCCCCTCCATCCCCCCTCCCCTCCTCCCCGCTGGCCTCCATCCCCCCTCCATCCCCCCTCCATCCTCCATCCCCCCTCCACCCCCCCCTCCCCCTCCCCCTCCATCCCCCCTCCCCCCTCCATCCCCCCTCCATCCCCCCTCCATCCCCCCTCCCCTCCTCTTCCTCCTCCCGCCTCCCCTCCCCCCTTCCATCCCCTCCCCGCTGGCCTCGGCGGCCCCCCCGGGCAGCGCCAGAGCAGCTGGCCTTCGCCGGCCCCCCCGAGCCGTCGACGGGAGGAGGGGGAGGAGGAGGAGGAGGAGGAGGAGGAGGAGGAGGAGGAGGAGGAGGAGGAGGAGAAAGAGGAGGAGAACGAGGCGGGCCCCGGAGCGCGGAGCGCCCCGGTGGCGCCGCCGGAGGCGCTCGGGTGCTGAGGCCGCCCCAGGCGTTTTTCGGGGGTCCCGAGGGCCGGCGGAGGCCGGCTATGGTGACCATATCGGGGGTGGACAGAACCCCCAACAGTGACACGTCGATTAATGAATTGTCCGTTTTCGGTTCTCGAGAGGGCGCCGTGGCCGTTATGTTCCAGGCTTGCGCCCGCCAGGTTTGGGCCTCGGGTCGTTTTCACTAAACCACGTTTTACTAAAGGGGGGTCTGTCCATCCCCGACCATAGCTGACCAGCATCGCGCGGGCTCGCATGCTTTCGCAGTCAGACAGTTGCGCTTCTGCCAGCGCTGCGCCATTCGTTGTTGGCTGAACTCGTTTCTTTGTTGATTGGCGTTTCGTCGCCGAAAGCTTCGCCAGCAGAATGTCACTACTGAATGGTCGGGGTTGGACAGACCTCCTGCCCTGACACGTCGATTGAGGAATTGGCCGTTTTCGGTTCGCGAGGGGGCGTCGCGGCCGTCACTTTCGCGGGTCCGGGTCCGTCGGTTTCGGTCCCAGGCGCTGTGCACCAAGGGGAGGCTTACTGAAGGGAGATTTGCCCACCGCCGGTATGGGGCTGCTCGGGAGGGCCTGCTGAGGCCAGCTGCCTGGGGGGGGCCTGCCTGCGCGCCTGCCGAAGCCTCACCTGCGAGGGGGGGGGGGGGCCTCTCAGTGCGCGGCTGGCTCCCCGAGGAGTGCCTGCGGCGCGCCAGCCTCCCGCACCTCGCTGTCCTGCGGCTGGACCTCGCTGCCGCTGCCGGCGGCCCCGCCCGCGCGGCGGTGGAGGGCTTCGTGGCGCGCCTGGCCGACTGCCTCGCGGACGGCGCGCTGCAGCCCCAGGCTCGGAGGATGAAAACCTTAAGACCTTGTCGTTTCATTTTCCAGCCGCGCGGTGCCGCCTTGTTTCGGGGCCCGGGGCCCTCACAGAGGGATCGATGCGCTTCGGAAAGTGGCGCTGAAGGATGTGGTTTGGGGCCTGGGCCATTCTTGTTCACAAAGTTCCAATCGATTCGCTGCGTCGGATCTCAGGGAAGGTACCGGTGCCGCTACCCCTCCCTCTCTTTTGCTTTTCTGAGCCTCCCGGGAGTCCCTCGCCGCCACGGCTGGATTCGCCCCGATATCCTGGTCAGGACGCGCCCCTGGGAGAGGCCCCGGGGTATAGTTAGCGGTGCGCCGGTATCTCTCTGCCTCCCCCATACGTAGGCGCTGGCGCTGCGGCTGGCCGCGTTTGACGCGGCGGGCGACCGCCTGCGGCTGGGCCAGAGGGCCTGGGCCTCGCTGGTGCGCGGGTTGGGCGCGCCGGCCTGTGGGCGGCTGCGGGCACTGGAGCTGAGCTTCCTGCCGATCAAGTTATCGCAGGCCCTTTTCTTGGCATCGCTCGGGCGTGTGCATGTTTTCCTCGGGGAGGACCATCGAGGAGCATCCTGGATCATCGAGCCAAATAAACACGCACGAAACCGAAAGATGCACGGGGAGTGGTCGTCCGAGCGATGGCGAGTGCTTCGTCCTCCTTGTCTCCCCTCTCTCCCCTCTGTTTGTCGCGGCTTCGGCAAGGGCGGCACAGCGCTGCACGCTGCAGCATCGGCCCTCACCCCTCTCGATTGGGGGTTGCGGATTTGCTTCGCGACCTCTTCTCCACTCGGCTAGTGACGCGCACGGCACGCCCGCAAGCTAACACACTGAGGATTTTGTGCTGCGGGGGGGGGGGGGGAAGTGAGCTGCCGCAGGCCCTGCAGCCGGTCGCCGCTGCGGGGGAGGCGTGCCTCAGCTTCGCGGCCGTGCTGGCCCGCATGTTCTCACTCGAGGAGCTCGTGCTCACGCACGACGACATCTTTGGGGAGACGGCCCTCTTGCTGGGACGGTCCCTCGGCGAGCTGCCGCGCCTGACGTGCCTGGACCTCACGCGCAACCGGATCTCCAGGCAGGCGATGGACGGCATGCGGGCGGCGGTGAGCCCTACGGTCGCCATACGCGGCGCCGAGTCGCAGACGTTCGCTCCGTGCTAGGGCCGCCACGCTGTACAGTGCATGGTGTGCGGGTGCGGGTGTGCGGGTCGGGGTGGCGTGTTGCTGGGCTTGCTACAGCTCGTGCCAGCTCAGCAGAACAGCAGGGTAGGCCTCCGCTCGGGCTTCAGAGCAGGAGGAGGAGGAGGAGCAGGGGCGGCAAAGGTCGCTTCCGAGCCAGCGTCGCGCAGGAGCGCGGTACCTTTGGCTCTCCAGCCCGACGCGCGGCCGCGTCTTCCCCAGCCCCGCGCAGAACCCACGTGAACCCACCGGGTTTCGCTCTGCCCCGCTCGCCGATCTGCTCACCCTTCCGCCCTCGCACTCCAGTCCCCGACCCCGTCACTTCGCTCCTGGCCGCCCCGCCCCGCACGCCCTCGTCGCTCCTCCGCTCCAGCGGAGCACCGTAGGAAGAATTCGGAGAGCCATTCGTTTTTTGGGGCCTGGTGTGACGTGCGCGAACGCGCCGTGTGCACGAACGCGGGCCTGCCTGGCGGTCTCTCCAGAGAGCCTTCCGCCACAAACAGCACGCATCCCTTCGCTCCAGTGGGAGGAGGAAGGGGACGACGACAGGAGGAGGAGGAGGAGGAGGAGGAGGAGGAGGAGGAGGACGAAGAGGAAGAGGAGGAGGAGAAGGAGAAGCAGGAGGAAGAGAAGGAGGAGAAGGAGGCGAGAAGGATGTTGAGGAAGATGAGGAGATAGAGGAGGAGGAGGAGGAGGAGGAGGAGGAGGAGGAGGAGGAGGCGGCGGAGGAGGAGGAGGAGGAGGAGGAGGAGGAGGAGGAAGAGGGCCATGAGCCCTGACTTCGGATCCCCGTTCTCTGGTTGATTTTCAGATTTAAACGGTCTCGGAGATGCACCCCGACCGATGCGAAAAAGTAGAGCGTAAGTTCACGCCTCAGACAGATTCAGACAGTCGGGCAGCTGCTTCCGCAAAAGTGCGGCGAAAACAGACGGCAAAGTAGAGCGGAAATCGGCATCAAAGGAGCTTGAACAGTTGGGCGGAAGTTTCTGCTCTACTTCCGAAATCGCCCAAAGTACGGCGGATCCAAAGACAGGGGGATGGGGGAGAGAGGGAGTGAAGGATGGTGGGAGGGGGGGAAGGAGGTTGAGGGCAACGGGGAGAAAAAGGAGAGCATCCATCAAATTTGCTCGCAGAACATCCGCAGGTCCTTCTTGCGGGGCCACTAGGCTGCGAGGACTCCCAAGCCTCGGCCTGAGGAACTCGCATGCCGCCTCCCGACCATTTTGGCACCCCACACACGCTTCGTGTCCTGTAGGGAGCTCCACTTATGGCCCCGAGGGAGAAACTCGCACGCCTCCCCCTGCACACGTCGGCACATCCCTGATACAGTTCGTGCCCCACACATTATTCGCGCCAGACAGGGAGTTCCACCCAGGGTCCCAGTGGAGAAACTCGCGTGCCGCACACACCCCATTTCGGCACACCGCTCACGGGTCCTGCCCCACAGGGAGTTCTACCTAGGGCCCAAGCAGAGGAACTCCCGTGCCGCACCCCGCCCGTTTCGGCACATCCCTCACAGGGATCGTGCCCCACGGGGAGTTCCCCTCGCGGCCCCAGGGGAGAGGCTCGCACAGCGCACCCCGCCACCCACTTCGGCACACCCCTCTCATTCGGATCGTGCCCTGTCGGGACCTCGGCGCGCCCATGCGAGCTTATTCCACAGAGTCCCCACGTATCCGCGCTGCCCCGAACCTCGTACATGCCCTGCGCTATACGCAGCTACACAAGGCTTGGCATTCTGCCAGACTACTCTGCGCAAGCCGCCCTATGCAGAGAGGACTACCATCGGCGTTGCCTGTGAGGACCGCCATTGGCCTCACACCCCTGGCAGGTTTCCCCATTGGCGATGCTGGGGCCCCGCTCCTACCAATACACAATGCCTTTGTTGGAACCTGAAGAGGCCGAGGCCTCCCTTCCTGCATCTCGGTCATCCAAGACGGCCAGGAGCAAACTCACC